CCCCCCCTTCCCCCACCCCCACCCTGCGTCTCCAGCTGCTAGTGCAGGCTGGGGCCCGTGCAGTTGGAGGGTTGGTATTCTGCCAGGCTCACAAGACAGTGAAGGATGTCTGTAATGAAAGGATTGTAGTGTAAGGCTATTGGCCTGTAAGGATGGAAGAAAGGATACGAGAAAGTTGGAGATTTGTAACGAGGGAAAAACAGTCGGGTCGATGGACTGGAGGTCCCAGAGCGCAGGGAACCCCTGGAGGAAGCCAAGTCCTGGGGGTCAGAGAGGGATGCTTTGAGATCAAGTTCTCAGAGCCTGTGTGGATGAACTATGCGAGAGGGGCAGGCACATCATGTTGGTGGAAGGAGGACAAGGGACCGGGGAGCCTAGGTACTGGATAGGTCCTGCACATGGCTGGCCACCTCATCAGAGGTGAGGTGAGGAGTCAAGGAAGAAGATTCTGAGCCATGTGCTGGCCTCAGGGTGTGCGCCCTCTGCAGTTACTGCCCTGAAATACTTGATTTTTTCAACAAGGGTCCTCCACCTTCATTTTGCACTGGAGCCTACAAATTATGTAGCAGGTCCTCACAGCCTTCCATGAAGGGGCAAGTCTGTCTCTCATAGTGGTCTCCAAGATTTTCATGCTATATCCCCAGGGATATTAAAAATAAGCACTGATGCTCGGCTCCATCCACAGATATTGTGATTTCATTGATCTGAGGTATGACCTGAGCCCTAGGACTGTTAAAAGCCTGGTGACTTCAACGTGCAACGAAGTTTGGGAGCTGTTGGGTTATAGTAACAAGGAGGGTTAATTTGGTTAAAAGCTACACAACCTTCAAGAGTGGGATTTTCGAAGAGAAAGGGTTTGGAGATGGCAGAGGTTATTATGGTAGAATAATGACTCTTCCTGCCCAACTGTCGATGTCTTCATGGCCGGGACCTGTGAATGTTACTTTACATGGCAAAAAGGACTTTGCAGATGTGATTAAATTGAGCGTCTTGAGAAGGGAAGTTTGTTCTGGATTGTCTTGGTGGGCCCAGTGTAGTTCCAACTTTCTGTATTAGAGGGAAGCAGGAAATTCAGAGCCAGAGAAGGAGATAGACGTAAGACAAAAGTGGAGGACAGAGAGGGATTGGAAGGTGCCCCACTGCTGGGTTTGAAGATGGAGGAATAGGAACCCAGGAATGCAGGCACCCTCTAGAAGCTGGAAAAAGCAAGGAAATCGGTTCTCTAGAGGATCCAGAAAGTATGCAGCTCTGTCGATATCCTTCTTGATTTAGAATTCCCGACATTCAGAACTACATAACATGATAAATTTTTGTTGTCTTAAAACACTACATGTGTGGCAAAAAATTTGAGTCACTAACGTGAAGGTTCCCAGCTGAAGTAAAAAAAAGTTGTTACTAAGGTCCAGCTACTCGTTGCCTCGCAAGCCAAAAATCAGAGACAAGGTTGATGGAAAGAAAAGCAGGTTTATCCAAAATGCCAGCATTCCAGGAGAATGGCGGACTCCTGTCCAAAGGCCATCTTCCCGTTCCCTGCATGGCCAAAAGATTTCATAGAACGCAAGAAGAGGCAGAAGAAAAGAAAGGGGGGCGGGAGGGTACAGCAAGTCAGGCAATTTGGAAAAGAAAGAAGGTGCTTCACAGAAACTGGTTGGTTTCAGGGATCTGGGTGGATCTTGTGTTAGTGTTGAAAAGACTTCTTCTAAGCCAATGTAAACAGAATCATTAAGCTGGTGTGCATACAGCCTAGAGCAAACAGTCATTAAGGAAGTGTCCTGAGCTTGCGTGACTGTCAAAGTAGTAGCCTCACACACGTTTGTGTCTTCCCACAGTGTCAGACTTTATAAGAATAAAGCCATGGATCTAGTCCTATGGACTTGGTTTCCCACAGGCATTAACCAAGGCTCCGGCCAGAGGATCGTCTCCAAGTAGTCGAGGGAGAGTGGTTTCACACAAGAGGGTCACACAGGTTTGCAAGCAGTATGGGTTAGGCATGGTGAAAGGAGTCTTAGGAAAGCCGACTGAGAGGGAGTCCAGTGTTCAGTGAGAGTCCCTTCTGTGCTGGGGTGCATAGTGTCCAGCGTCAGGCAGGGCTGGTGAGATGGTCAGTAGGTGAGGTTTCAAGGACTCCGTCTGGGACAAATGCAGGTGCAGCTGTCAGCTCATCGGTTGAGGCCTGAACGAGGAGCCATCAGAGAGCTTTGATTTTATGCTCAAGACTGGGTGCTATGCACCCATCTGCAGTCCAAAAAAGCTGTCTAGGTGGTCACACTCCACCCTGCGCCTGGAGTTATCTGGGGGGTGGGGGTGGGGTGGTCACTGGGTACGCCTTTCATGGGATGCTCTGGCATGACTGTCACTTTGTGACTGACATAACTACCCGAGTTATTAGAGTCCATTTTGTGTTGATAATTAATGCTCTATATAGATGGGAAGCAAAGCAAAGAAAAAAAAGTCTTAAATGGTTTTAAGTTAAATTATGTTGTCAAATTGAACTAAACTTAGGGTATTAGATCCTGAAAATAGAGAATACAGTGTCACCATTACAAGGTGACACTCTGACTTTTTGTTTCTTCTCTCATACAGCAAACAAGTATCCTTTTTGTGGTTTAGTTAGCGGTATATATTGCATATTTGTGCTTTTTCGGTGATGTTGCTGTTTGAAATGGCCTGAGCATAGTGGTGAAGTGCCGTCTAGTGCTTTTGAGCATAAGACGGCTGTGATGTGCCTTATGGAGAAAATATGTATATGAGATAAGCTTCTGTCAGACATGAGTTTGCAGAGGAAGGAAAATAATTTTCCCTTTACCCTTCAGTATTAGCTAAGAGCCCTGTAAAAAAAGACATTAACAAGAGAGAAACAGAAGTTCATGAACACGCCTACCTCACATACACATGGGCGATACCCAGGGAAAATGAGGCGCTCTCAAAGGTGCCTTAGAATTCAAGACCCAATACCATCTTAACGGGGGAAGAGGAGGGGGCATGAAGGCAATTTAGGGGAGAGTAAATGACTTTTAGGAAAGATAAAGGGGCCCTTAGAAGAATAGAGGGGAGCTGTCACCATTTGTGACAGTTATGTGAGTGTGGTTTCCTTTCCTGTGATAAGATCCCATCTTCTCTATCGGAGCTATTAGATAAATCTCCTGGGGAGGAGATTTATGACAATTGGAAGATCTGTCTTTAGACAGATGAGGGGAGTTCAGGGTAAGCCTCTTTCTGCATTTGCCATTTTCCAAGTGCTGTCAGCTCCAAATAACCAGTGT